CCAAGGTGTCACACAGCTCACAGCAACCTTCAACTCCTGGGCTTAGGTGATTCTCTTGCCTCAGCCTCCCAAGTTGCTGGGACTACAGGCACCCGCCATAATGCCTAGCTATTTTTTTGTTGCAGTTTGGCCGGGGCTGGGTTTGAACCCACCACCCTCGGTATATTGGGCCTATGCCCTACGAGCTGAGGCACAGGTGCCACCCCCTAACGTGTATTTTTTAAAGTAATCATAAAAATTAGTGATTTCTCATTCCCATGAAGAACAAAAAAATATCTTGAGTACTAAGTAAGCACGCTTATAGGGGGAGAAGGCAAAACTCTCAATAAGTCCAGCACTGTATACCATACTTTGGGGAAAATAGATGGTTTAAAACAGACTCATGGGCAACAAATCACAATAGTGAGAATAGTCAAAGAAAGATTAGGGGTAAAATAATAGCATCTATTCAGCTCCTAGCACCAGGCACTGTGCCAGAAGATTTATATAAAGTAATATTTGTTTCCCACCAATCAGCCCCCTTTACAATTAGGGAAACTGAGACTCAGAAAGATCAAGTAAATTGCCCAAGATTAACAGGTTAGTAAGCTTAGCCAGTAAAATAAACGTACAGACCAGTTTTGAATCCAGGCCTGTCTGATCTATTTTTCCCATTGTTTATTTTTGCTTATTTTTATTATTTTTACTTGTTTTTATAATCCAAAGGAAGCTAGAATGGTTAGGATCATGATGCATGTATCAATGAAAGGAGGTGAATATTTAAAACAGGGGTTTGTATGGGCTGGAAAAAAAATTAGGCTGAAACATTCAAATATGGGCTTAGAGATTAAGAACAAGAAGATCAAGTTTAGGGATGCTTCTTCTTCTTTTTTTTTTTAGACAGGAGCCTCAAGCTGTCCCCCTGGGTAGAGTGCCATGGCACCTCAGCTCACAGCAACCTCCAACTCCTGGGCTCAAGCGAGTCTCCTGCCTCAGCCTCCCAAGTAGCTGGGACCACAGGCGCCCGGCCACAACGCCCGGCTATTTTTTGGTTGCAGCCGTCATTGTTGCTTGGCGGGCCTGGGCTGGGAATTCGAACCCACCACCTTAGGTGTATGTGGCTGGCGCCTTAGCCACTTGAGCCACAGGCGCCGAGCCTTTTTCTTCTTTTTTAAGAGACAGGTGTCACTCTGCCAGCCAGGCTGGAGTGCAACAGTGAGATCATAGCTCACAGTAGCTTCAAATGCCGGGGCTTCAAGTGATCTTTCTGCCTCAAGCTCTCAAGTAGCTGGAATAAAAGTGCACACTACTATGCCTTGCTAATTTTTCTATTTTTTATAGAGATGGGTTTTCGCTACATTGCCCAGGCTGGTCTTGATCTCCTGGCCTCAAGTGATCCTTGGCCTTCCATAGTGCTGAGATTACAAGCCTGAGTCACTGCACCTGGCCCTAGGGCTGCTTCTTTGTTATTTTTTGAGACAGTGCCTCACTCACTTGCTTTGGGTAGATTGCCACGGCATCATCATAGCTCACAACAATCTCATACTCTTGGGCTAAAGTGATCCTCCTGCCTCAGCCTCCCAATAGCTGACTGCGGGCACCTGCCCCAACGCTTGGCTACTTTTAGAGACAGGGTCTCACTCTAGCTCAGGCTAGTCTTGAACTCCTGAGCTCAGGCAATCCATCTGCTTCAGCCTCCCTGAGTGAGCCACTGTGCCTGGCTCTCAGGCTGCTTCTTCATTCAGTTTGAACAACAGTTATAGCACAGGTCCAGTTTAGGAATACCAAGGCAGCAAAACTGCAGTTTTAATTTACAAACTAGAGAGTAAACACCAAGAGAATGTGAACATTTGTTTGTATTCATTGTATCTGAAGTTCTGATGATAGTGACTGGCACACAGTAGCACTCTAAACTTTCATTGAAATAATGAAAAGTCAAGTAAGAGGTATTCACCTTTGAATACTCTTGAAGGTCTGAAATAAAGATAGTAAAGCAATATGCTTAAAAACCATTCAAGCAATTAGGATACTTCTTTAACCTGCAACCCGAAGCAAAAACAACAAAAACCCACCACCATCATAACAATAAACAAAATAATGGCAAAACATTCACATGATTTTACAAAGAAAGGTAGATAAAAGAATGAAAAGACATTTTTGCATTATTTATAACCTTTCTGTGGATAATCAAATTTCATTGAGATGGAATCCAGAATTTTGACCTAGTGTTTTAATATTTCAAACTGCAGTGAGCAGTGTATCCAATGACTGCTTTTGGAAAAGCAACTATTTACCTCATCCAAGTAAAAAAAGCAACAATTTTTAAATTATAGTTGATTAGTAAGGGAGTGAAAACCACAAATTCGTTAGCTCAAAGAAATAACAAAGTCTTATCAAAGTCTTATTTTTCTAATTTTGATACTATGCTTCTATTGTAAGGAGCAAAGACAAGTGCATGAGGAACAGTAAGTTAAAGTAAAGCCCTCTGGAAGACAGAAAGCCACTCTACAGAAACATTTTTAAAAATAATAAAAGCAGGTTCCACAGACTTTCCCTATTTTTCACAAGCTTTTCTAATATTTCTTTTTTGATAGGCCCAATGAATAACTGCCACTTATCACAAAACATCTTTCAGATTATGTATTTTATATATTGCTTCTCTTCAAGCCACTCAATTCTTTCAGCTACATCAATTTTTGTCATTTCTGTTATACTGTATTTCTGCCATGGAATATCATAAAGACTAATTTAATAAACTCCTTTGCTTTCCAAAGACAATTTCCAAAAGGCAGTGCAACTGTATCTCAATCAATATCACAGCATCATTTTTTTGTTGTTTCTTTTAGTTCTCTAATCTTTCCATACTTCAATAATTCCTATTTTCTTCCATATTACATTAAAATAGAGAAGATAGTGAATATTTTCTCTTTAGACAATTAATCCTTGGGGCAGTCTATGCATCCTTAACCTTCTATTAGTAACAACACAGACATTATCTTGTCTTGCCTTTTCCGACAACTACCATAGCAATTTTGTGACCTTCCAAAAGATAATTCATAATTAATTTTAGGGTTTTAGGCTTATTTCTAAAAGAAGTCTACATTTTCTCTTTACTGCAACATTTGGTTTAAATAGATGTCTAATGAACTCTAGACCAAACAGCTTCTTAAGAATTAGAATTAAATAAGTGCCAATATGGAGACCAGATTAATAATCCAAAATTTAAAAAATACATAGGCCTTATTATTTTAAAATTTCTTGAAAGACATTAATTTTAGGTTCACTGGACAGATATGATAAAATTACTAAAACTATTGAGATTTCACAAAATAAGGTCCAAACAGAGTGAGTCCTTCAGTACACAGACCTCTTACCCCACGTACGTTAGTTGACAACAGAAGCTAAGGAATAAAAATTGTTGACTGTTGGCTTGGCTTCAGTAGCACAGTGGCTACGGCGCCGGGACGTACATCAAGGCTGATGGGTTTGAACCCAGCCCAGGCCAGCTAAACAACAATGACAACCTCAACAAAAAACAGCCGGGCGTTGTGGCGGGTGCCTGGTGCCTGCAGTCCCAGCTACTTGGGAGGCTGAGGCAAGAGAATTGCTTAAACCCAAGAATTTGAGGCTGCTGTGAGCTGTGATGCAACAGCACTCTACTGAGGGCGACATAATGAGACTGTCTAAAAAAAAATTGTTGATTGTTTACTACCACCTCACACATAGTTTCTTGTAAAAAATGGAGAACACAGGACAAAAGAAAGTTCTTTCTTGTTGATTTTCTGTCCTCCCTGAGCCAATTTTTTACTCAAACTCTGAGATGAATCTCATACCCCTTGCACCATACTTAAAACCACAAAAAACAGACGTTATTGTTAAATCAGTGGTGAATTTAATTTTAAAAAGAGGAAAGTGTACTAAAATACAATTTTCACAAATGCTACATGTAAGAATGAGAATTTTAAAGGGTTGATGAAGTTGTTCCTAGGTCCAGGGCAAAACCCATAGCCCCCAAATCAACGGGTCTATGAACTGAAGATATTAATTAACAGTATCAGGTAAGCCAAACTTGAGTACTTCAGTATGACTTTCACTCTAAGATGAAAATGCCCCATAATTTATGTAAAATATTCAGTCCTCTAATAAACCACTTCCTGAAGAGAGTTTCTGTTGCATGTCAAAGCAGGGAGCACTATACCTCACTCAGTCAAGGTTGGACTTGAAAGGGGAGCAAGGGTAGACACTTCGTGAGTCCAAAGAAAATATGTCGTCTTGTAGAGAAGAGAATTTTTTTTTTTTTTTTTT